TCTGTTCTGATTCCTTATCATTTGTATGTATGTGACTTTTTTTCCTCCTTTCTGGAAGTGTATAGAATATTCTTTTTTCTCCATTGTTCTGAAATTTTACAGTGACGTCCTTGATGTGGCTCTGTTTTTATTCATAGTATTGGGCACTCAAGAGGGCTCTTTTCAATCTGGAAACTTCTGTTCACTTTTAGGAACTTTTCTTGAAGTATTTCATTGATTTCTTCCCCTTCGTTTTTGTTTTCTGTCTGTAGAACTCCTGTCATTTGTACTTTGAACCTGCTAGACTGGCCCTCAAATTAAACAGTAACTCTTCTCGTCTGTGGGTGCAGTATATCCTAACTTTGTGAGGATATTAATGGTATTTTTTCTTACATTTTCTTCTCTTTGAATATTTTTTTTGTGTTTGTATTGTTTAATATCTTTCTGATAATCCTCAGTTGTCTGTTTGTGATTAGAACAAGAGTCCTACAAAGGTGATTGGAAGCTCTGAGCATGTCGGTAGCATCCATTTTCAGCTTCACTGTAGGGTGTGCTGAGAGGGTCATTTAATAGAGACCAGTCAGATTTCTATAGAGTGCTCCTCCTATGGCCTGCCTGGAGGAGATAGGTGCCTCCCAGCATTTTGGGAGCCCAGTGTTAGAAAGGCACTGGGATTCATTATTGTGTGAGTGTGTGTGTGTGTGTGTGTGTGTGTGTGTGTGTGTGAGTGTGTGTGTGAGTGAGTGTGTGTGTGTGTGTGCGTATAACTTGATCCCTTGTTTTCAGTCCTGGCCCTCATCTGTGCCAGCCCATTGCCTTTCCAGAGGTTAAACCTCCAGACTTCGGTCAAGACTGGGAGGGGTGAATGACTCAGTAGTGTGGAATCGAGCTGTGAACCTAGAGATCTGTTGTTTCTCAACATAACTGCCACCTAAGTCCCTTGATTTTGGTTCCTGCACTGCCACTCTCATTCCCAGAAGTGCCCAGCACTGCTACTTCCTGTTTCTTTTGAAGATTCTGCAATAGAAACGGTCGGTTGTCAGCTTGACAATTGCAGTCTCAGGATTCAGCTTTCCTGGCTTTGCCGAGGCGGTTTCCTCTCCTCTGTCTCTAGCTTCCAAAGTTGTATTGCTCTTGTCTCTTCTGAGCTTGTTGTCCTTGTGGGTTATATCTTTAAAACAGTAACAAACCACTTTTTGGTAGTTTTGTTGCATTTTGCATTGGAGCAAGCCTGGCTGTTTATTTCAGCCTGCTGCCTTAACCTGGAACCTTTGCCTCTTTTCTTTCTGTATAGCTCTTCAGCAGATGTAGGCATAGAAATTAAAGGTCATTCTGTTGCCTTTAAAACAAAGTTGTCTTTTTTCTCATGCCACCATCTTGACAGATGTTATATTAAATATCTGTTTTAAGAATATATTAACCCACACTTGTTAGTACTCATTTTTTATCTTCTGTTTTCTTCCCAGATTGTTGTTTCACAGTGTAAAAATGCCAGCGTAATGCTAGCTTGAATGATGGCCGTACTGAAGGCGTACAAATGCTGAGTCTAGTAGTGGATTTCCAAAATCTGAACTCTTTCCCTCTCAGCCATGTTGTCTACTTGCTCTCATAACAGTGAACACAAACCATCACTAAGAACTGTTTGTCCCCCTCGGACACCCTTTTAGCTCAGTACTGAAGTCACTCCTGAGGTTCACCCTTCAGCCAAAGATTAGGCAGGCCCATAAAACAAAACGAGACTAAAGGGGCACACCAGCCCAGGGGCAAGGATGAGAAGGCAGGAGGGGACAGGAAAGCTGGTAATGGGGAACCCAAGATTGAGAAGGGAGAGTGTTGACATGTCGTGGGGTAGGTAACCAGTGCCACAAAACAATATGTTCTGTAAACCTTCATCTAAAGTACAATAATAAAAAAATAAATACAAAGAAATATTTGTCCTTTTATGGATAGGTGGCTCTTAGGCTCCAGTGTGTATCTGAATGAAAGCACAGATTGCTGGGCCCCACTCCCTGAGTTTCTGATTCCGTAGGCCCGGGATGAGGTGTGAGATTTTGAATTTCTTGCAAGATCCCAAATGATGCTCCTGCTAACACTGCTGGTGTGGGGACCACATTCTGAGGACCACTGATGTAGACTATGTTGATTGCTTCAAAAACAGAAACAATAAAACAAAATGACCACCACCAGTGTCCCTCAATAAAGCCTTACTTACTATTCTTCAGGTTGGAGAATTTAGAGAAACTTGGAACTCACCCTGTTATTGCTCTCCTCGCCTTAAAGCCATGTTTATAGTGATCGTCTTCCAAGACAACCATGCGAGACAGTTGGGCTCAACGTTTTAATGAATTAATTCTCTCCTTTGGCCCGCTATTGGCCCTTTCTTTCTTTCTGACTACCCGTTTAAAGTTTTCTCCCTGCTCTTCCTACCCTCCCTCCTCCCCCTGGTGCCACACCCTCTTGGTGCTCCCTAGTGGAGAAGTAGCTCAGGGCCTAGAGGCTGGCGGTCAGGGTGTGCTCTCGCATGGGGACACTCCGGGAAGCAGGCTGCGTGGAGGTCAGCCACTTGGGAACTGCCCACTCCCTGCTGGTAACACGTTGATGGTGTACTGAGTGTAGTTGTCTAAACACGAAGGCGTACCGTTGAGCTTGTGCGTGTTCATATGTAAACACAAACGTCAAAGTCAGGACAAGTCTTTGCTGGTCAGTCATTTGGACATTGCTGTAGCAGGAAGGACACGCTTTTTCAAGTTTAATTGAAAGCTTTGAGTTGTTAACATGACATTAACCCAAGCCTCCCTGCCGGGGAGTTGGTTCCGACTCATAGCGACCCTATAGGACAGAGGAGAACTGCCCCATAGGGTTTCCAAGGAGCACCTGGTGGATTCCAACTGCTGACCTTTTGGTTAGCAGCCATAGC